AATACGGAAAACAAATACTAATAATAAAAATAAATAAAAATAAAAAGAGAATTAAATTTAGTGAGTGCGCGAGCATGTTTTCGACACCGCCATCTTTGGTGATTTTTCATTTTTTTTTGGCATAGCTAAATGCGCTGAAAATTGACAGATGTGTACTTCACATAATACAAAACCCGCAAAAAAGTTTCAAAAAATAATAAAATTGTTTAGACCCCGAACTAAAGTGAAAACAAAAAGCAAAAACTGAAAAAATACGTGGGCGAGCACGTTTTGACACCGTCGTCTTTGGCGATTTTTAATTCCTTTTTGGCTTTGCCAAATGACTTGAAAATTTACAGGCATTTACCTCACGTCATAGAGAACTCACAAAAAAAAATTCAGAAAAAAAATAATTATTTTTAGGCCCCGAAATAATTTTTGGCGGGGGCCGAAAGCCGTCGGGTTCAGACCCCGTATGGGACCCCGAACGCCCGTACGTACGGAGGTCTGCCCGGGGACCTCCGTACGTACGGGCTGGTGACCTTGTATATATATATATATATCATCATATATATATATATATATATCGTCACAAATATATCGTCAAATAGAACTGCCCGGTAAACCGTAGGCAGAGAGGGAGAAGAGGACAACAAACGAGGGGCTGTGACAAACTGTTTCGTCGGAGTTTCACCGACTCATCAGGAGGCTGAACCGGACAAGTGACCCCGGGCCACTCTGGTAGCCTAGGCAAATACTTAATTAATTATTTTTTTCGACATTTCTTTTCCAAAATGTTTTCTTTTTCAAAAACTTTCAAAAATATGTAGAATTAATTATTCTTTCTCGGCATTTCTTCCTCGAAATTTGAAAATAGTTTCAATTAATCCTTTTTTGAAATTCTTGTAATTCGAAAATATTTCAAAATTACTTTAATTCTTTGTTTCTTTTCGGAAAACATTTCTAATTAATTCTTTTTTAATTTTTTTGTAATCGGGAAATACTTTAGAATTAATCAACCTCTTTTCCTTTTCGTAATTTGAATTAATTCTTTTTCGACAGTTCTTTGAAATTTGAACCTACTTTTAAATTTTAATTCATTTTTTTTCAATAATTTTGAAATACGTTGGAATTAATTAAATTATTTTTCCATATTTTGTTTTGAAAATTTGAAAATAATTTTAATTAATTCTTTTTCTCGTATATTTTAAACTCGTAAAATTCCCTTTTCTATTTTTTTTCTTGAAAATTCAAAACCCCCTTATGTTCTTTTCGAAATCCTTTCTTGAAATTTGGGAATATTTTACTTAAATCCTTTTTTTCAAAATTTTCACGTTTTCTTCCAAAATCATACCCCAAAATTAATTTCGAATAAATTTAAACCCAAATTGGAATTTATTTGTCTTCGAAACTACTTATTTGAAGTTATTTCTTTCCTTCCTTTTCCGATATTTTCAACGAAAATTTCTGTAAAATTTCATTTTGCAAGTTCCTCCATCCGATTCCTTTTGAATTAACCTCGAATAAGATTAATTAATTTGAATCAGAATTAATTTATTTTAATTCTTGTTTTGCAAAATTAACTTTTGTAAATTATCTTCTTCAAGGAAGATGAGCAATAGCGAACTTCAGCAATCAAACAACATCATATACACAAGACCAAATAGTCGTGACCTCGAACCAACAACAGAATTGCATCACGAGTTTCACCAATTAAGAACACACCAAGAGCTCATAATTGACAATGCTGGTAAAGTCTCATCATCATCATCAACGAAGAACCAATGTTGATATCGTATCTGGCGCTCGGCGCCCAGACTACAGATGGCAGATCCTATCTAGCCTAGACTAGAATGCCGAAGATGACGTCAACAACTTTCCCGAAGTACGAGCATACATCGACCAATGTCGCACGCTTCCAGCACCAGGTATGTCTCTCGCCTCACTCACAACCTCGTTCCTCAACACACAGATGCTACTTGCACCCAACGACCACCCTGCGCCAGACCCAGCTTACAGCAGCGCAGCTCGGCTATGGCTGCCTGCTCCTTCCTGCTCGCCCGTGAGCGCGTGAGCGCTGGCCAGCAAATAGCGCAGCATGCATCCAACACCCGAATGACGCATGTGGAGGCAGGCCCTTTGCTATATCCAAGTGGCCTGCCTGCGTTCAATCCTAGGAAGCTTCCAGTAGGCCTCGATAGCCTGAGGCCCAGCACGAAGGAGAACAGGCCTTGGGCCTGAGGTGGTTGCATGTACCCAACTGCCTTGGCCTGTGTTTGGCCCAGTACCCGTATCCAGCCCAGGGCCTGCTTTCCATACATTCATACAGGCGGCCTAGGGCCTGGGTTCTCTCAACTAACTGGCGTTGCGCAACTGCCTGAATTTCCTTCAGTTGCGTGGTGACCAAAATAGGGGCCCTCAGGCCCTCGTCGTGCCTGCCTTCACTTAGGGCGGCCGACGTGATACTTGGCAGGGCCACAAAGGGGCTCGTAGGGGCATAAGCCTCGCATTCCCTGCCCCATAACTTCGCTAGTCCTCTGAGAAGTTCAATCTTCGATGATCTGGCGCTTTCCCTTCTGCAGAGATTTCTCATATTGAGCTACGATCTAAGGAGCGGTCTGCATGAGTTCCTCCCTAGTGAACCAGAGGTCCTCCTTTGGATCCAGATGATGTTGGAACCGAACTCGGTACTGCAGTTTCGGTTTCGGAGGACGTCCCCTGCATGTTGGTCTTGAAATGGGCAGCTCCCTATGATCCATGATGTCGTCTATGTCCACCTCTCCATCCATGGTTGGGGGCAGCATTGAGCGTCGAGAAGGAAACTGATCTGTTTCCTTGAAAGGTGCAAGCTTGAAGGCGTGAAAGACAGGGTAAGTGCGTAAGTGACCAGGGATGCGAATGACATAAGACGGGCCATCCGGTTACTTCCCCACGACATTCAATATCTCCCACGGTCCGAAGTGCTGTGGCATGAGCTTGCGGGAGATTCCGTGCTCCTGTCCCAGTTCTGAGGACTTGACCCAGACACTGTCTCCCACCTGAAACGTGGATGGGCGGCGATGTTTGTTCTCAGACTCTATCATCGCCGCCTGTGCCTTGTGCATCTGTTCAACAGCCTGCTGCATCAGCTGCTCATATCGATAAGCAAACTCTAAAGTCCCAGGTGCAGCATTCAGCTGATTGTCAGGTAGTAGAAAATCTAGAGGTAGGCGGGGTCTGAATGTCAGTAGCAAGCTGTTAGGACTGACTCTGGTTGCGCTATGACAAAGGAACTTCTGCTGTTCCTTGAGAAGGCAGGGAAATTTTAACGTTTGTGTGTGCCTAATAGGGAGTTTTTGCGTAGTTTATTTCTAGGCGAATGTCATGATGCCACAGGACATTTTGGGTTCAAAAAGACTGCAGCTAATCTGCTGCAGCGGTTCTGGTGGCCCACATTGATGAGAGATGCTAAGCTGTACGTGGAGACTTGTCAAGTCTGTCAGAGGGACAGGCCACGTACGCAGGCTCCACTTGGGCTCCTGAAGCCCCTTCCGATTCCGGAAAGGCCTGGTGAGAGCCTGTCCATGGACTTCATGGATACGCTGGTCACCAGCAAGAGTGGAATGAGCTACGTCTACGTCATTGTGAATAGGTTTAGTAAGTTTGCTAGATTAGTTGCAATGTCGGCCACAGCTAAAACGGAGTATGTGATTAAGATGTTCAAAGAGAATTGGGTTAGAGACTTTGGATTACCTAAGTCCATAGGTAGTGACAGGGATGTCCGATTCACAAGTGAGTTGTGGAAAGCAGCAGCTGCAGAGCAAGGCACGCAACTGCACATGACAGCAGGCAATCATCTTGAGGCAAACGGGCAGGCTGAACAAATGAACCGCGCTGTACAACACATGCTAAGGCATTACATCAAGCCTAATCAGATAGATTGGGATGAGAAACTTGCTCTCGTCGCACACGATTGAACTCAGTAATCAGCGCACCTGAGAAATCAGGTCTACGCGACAAGGCATCAGCAACCTTGTTGTACTGCTCAATGACTTTGATCCAGTGCTTGAGAGCGCCAGAGAGTACCGACTGAGTTCTCATCCATCTCAGGGTCTGATGATCAGTCCTGAGGGTGAAGAACCTCCCAAGGAGGTAGTGCCTCCAATGGGTCAGAGCCTTGTAAACCGCATAGAGTTCCTTCTCATAGGTGGACTTCGCCAACTTCTGAGACGGCATTTTCTTGGACATGTACTCAACTCGCCTCAATTTTTTCCCCTTCTGTTGTGCAAGTACGACGCCTATGCCATATTGGCTAGCATCCGTAGTTACTATAAATGGCTTATCAGGATCTGGAAGTTTCAAGACTTCGTAATGCGTCAACGCATGCTTCAGATGTCTGAAAGCAGCCTCTCATCTCTTCATCCACTCCCATGGGGTGTCAAGGCGGGTCAGATCAGTCAAAGGGGCGACAACTACGCTATAGTTCTCCACGAAGTTGCGATAGTAGCCGGTCATCCCTAAGAAAGATCTCATCTCGGTCACAGACTGAGGACGTGGCCAGTCACGAATGCTGGCCACCTTCGCGTCATCGGGCTTCAACCCTTCCGCGGAAAGCTCATGACCCAAGTACGGCCAAACTCGCACTTCTCACCGTTGATCTTGAACTTGTGTTGTCGCAGGAGACTGAGGACTTTGTCCAAGTGTGCAACGTGCTCCTCGATAGTCTTACTAAAAATAAGTATGTCATCGAGGTACACGATGACAAACATATCCAAGTAGTCATGGAATATCCGATTCATAGCGTGTTGAAAGGTGCCAGGAGCATTGGAAAGGCCGAAAGGCACCACCACAAACTCGTACAAACCGCACCTGGTCTGAAATGCGATTTTGTGTTGATCCTCGGGCCGGATTGCAATCTGATGGTACCCGGACTTCAGATCTATCTTACTGATGTACCGACACACTTGCACTCTATCTAGCAAATCGTCGATGCGCAGTAGGGGCTCTCTGTTTTTGACAGTGATGGCATTGAGGCCCCTATAGTCAATGCATATCCTCAGTGTTCCCTCCTTCTTCTTAGGTACAAATAGTACTGGAGACCCATAAGGAGAGACACTCGGCCGGATCCAACCCTTCTTTACGATTTCCTTGAGTTGTCGGCAAAGCTCATCGAGCTCGCCTCGAGACATCCGATAAATCCTACCCTTCGGGATGCTAGACCCTGGGATAATCTCTATCACGTGGATTACCTCCCTCTCTACAACCCTTGTCGGCTCTTCAAATAGATCAGGGTACTTGGCAACTACTCCCTCTATCTCTGGCGGCATTTTCACCGGCTCGCCTGCAGCAGAGACATAAACTAGATACATACCCTCCTCCTGATTTTGCTTTTAGTAGTTATAGAACACGGCCTCACGCATGCATCCGTGGGACTCAATCAGACTACTAGCTTTGAACTTACGCAATCTGGCGGTCCCTCCACTTGGCAAAGTGTGTTTGACCACTTTTCGGTCCCGGTCAAACTGGGGCTGTGCCACAGAGAGGTAGTACATACCTAACAACATATCCATGGGGAGTTCATCGCTCACTAGGAATGAGACGTGATGTCTCAATTCCCCTCCCGCGTACGGGAAACAACACTCCACTTCTTGGAGGTAGTCGTTGACTACCATGCGCTGTTTGTTGGCACAAGTCGACTCTGGCGCTGCACTTGCCCCTGTAAGCGCAGCCTCTCAACGCACGCGCGACTGATAAAATTCCTAGTCGAGCAAGTGTCATAATAGGCCCCGGCCTTGCGGCTGCCAATGACCACCTCGCTGACGAACATCTCACCCTTCGGGGCTTTGACTAGGGCCGTCCAAGAAGCTAGCGGGTCAGATCTAGACCACTCCTCCTCTAGCTCCTCTAAGGACTCAAACACATTCATCGAACAGAGGCTCGATGGGTCTGGACGTGTTTGCAGAACGACGCTGGAGTCAGTAGCTTGGGCCATCTCTCGAGATGGTGAGGGTGTCTCCACCACCTCGACCCTAGCGGGAACAACTACTATTCCTACTGGCCCGACGTGTTTCCCGGAGCACTGCCAAAAGTACTAGCTACGTTGCTACCAACGGGATGGGAGGATCCCAAAGCCTGCCCCATCGTAGGCGGGATCTTATCGGTCACCTTCTTGTTGCGGCACTTGAATTGGTTATGGCCATATTGACCACAACGAATACAAGCCAGCTGTGTATACCGATCTCTCCACATGTCCTTTGTGAGACCCGCTTTCTCCCATGGAGGAGCATTGGGGTCAACTTTACTCCTAGACCGGGGACCTCCACGGCGTCGACCAGTCGCCTTACCTTTCTGAGCTACGGCAGTGACTACTCCACCCTCTGAAGCTTCTACGCTGCCAACCTCTGAACCTACTCCTTCTTGGAAGTTGTCGTCTAACTCGATGGTTGAACCATCGTTACCGACAAACATAATGCGGCCCTTCGTTTTCCAGTTGGGAGGCAGTGTCTTCTTCCTACCCTCCGTTGTGGGATTATGTCCATGCCCTATCTTCGCCTCAAGGTCTAGGGCCTTCTTGCTGAACGAGGGGAAGTTGTGAACATTGATGTTGGCCTCACCTGCCAACTGATTCCTGAGAGGCATTGGAAAGCATCTCAGGTAGGAGGTGAGTAAAACCTGGGGGTCATAGCGCACCCCAGGGACACAGATCAAACGCTCCACAGCGTCGGTGGCCTCCTTGATTGACTTAAACTGCCTCGTGTGCAGTGTCAAGATCGCATCAGTGTCCTTTTGGGCCTCCTGAGGATCATGCCACCTTTCTTCCACCATCTTGAGGAAGTCCTCCAGTTTCTGGTGGGCTGCCCAAGCGCGGAAGTCATGACCGTACCCCTGTAGTTGCACTAAATCGCTCAACCATCGTGCTGCACTACCCTCTAGATAGGATGCAGCCACAAGCACTTCCTCGTGCGGCAAGGTAAGCTTACACTTGACATAGACCGGCACTGCCCTCAACCACGTGTCGAGGTCTTCGCCCCTCTTATCCCCTGTGAAGGGTTTAGGAGCGGCGATGGCCGTCTTTGGTACCCACTGTGTTTGTCCTGGTCCCTGTATCACTTGGGTTGTGGACCCTGTGACACATGCTGCTGTGCCATCTGCTGGGGCTGTGTACCCTGTGGCTGTACAGGCTGCGAGACAACAGGTTGCGTGGTAACCGCAACCTGCCACGGAGATTGGGTAAACACTGGCTGCACAGGAACCTGCAAACTAGATCCTGCTGATATCCCTCCTGATAGCGGCATGCCCAAGGAAACGATCGCGATCTATGATGGGGCTACATATGGGGATACCCCAGTCACCGGTGGGACAAAAGGAGGAGGCTGTAAGACGGGCCAGGCACCAGGCCCGGACATCGGTGATGTTGCCTGTGCTCGCCCTGCCAACAGGGCCAGACTTCGCTGAATTTCCTGAAGGATGGTTGTCTGATGGTCCTGCATTTCAACTACATTTAGCAGGACGGACCGTATGGTCCTCACATCATTAGTCACGTGTGTCAGGTCCATCTCCTCTAACTCACTAACGTCGGCTTGTCTCCGCTGCATCCTCGCTCTTCTTCTAATCATCCTTTCTTTCTCCGCTTTTATCTCTCCTAATGCCTTATGTAGCTGTGCCTCCTGCAAAAATGCCTGTTGTATGGCGATCTCGTCGGAAGTCAACACCATTGGCTGGCTTGCCATTGCACCAGTGGACTGACTCTGGGTTTGTGCGACCGTTGACCCTACAGATCCTGAACTACCGGCCTGAGTAGTCTGTTGCGCAGAGGTGGCCATGGCTTCCGAAGCTGCGGCTTCACTCACAAGTGCCCTGCTACCCTCTGCTGCTCTAGCCCTCCTCTGCTGCTGCAACCTCTCTCTACGCTGGCGGAACAGGTACCTGTCGCCCTCTGGTCCTAATGCCAAGTGGGCAATCGGGCGTCTAGCCGATCGCAAGATCCGGTCATCCTCTCTAGTGTCCTCCTCATCGCTCATAAGCTACAACACTGTACACAATCTGCACTAATGCACTCTGGATGCCTACCGCAGCGCAGTGCACAAACCAATTTAATAATTAATTGGTGGCTATTTCGGAGTAGATACATTTAGGATCAACAGGTAAGTTCAAATTCCTACAAACGAAAATATTTTTAGCCTGATTAGTCCGCGAACAGAATGCACAATGAACAGTTACAGTTCTAATTATGTTGTCTGTCAGATGTCAAATGGCAGTACACCTAACTAATTAAAACATAAAAAGAGAATCATTTGTGTGGATAGGACAGTATGGAATTTTTGTCAAACTTATCACCTGAAATCTACCCCTCTTAGTTCCCCTGAATGTCACTTGACGTAAGCGTCCCTGAGCAATCCGGAGAGCGTTGCATGTCTAAAAGGTGCGTGTTAGGCCCACCCCTGTGCCCCGAGTATCTGCTGAGCTGGCCAGCGCTGCACTAGATTATCCTCGCGTGCAGCGAGCCTTACAATCATTGGCTGATCCAGTGGCAATTCAATGACCGCCCCCAAGTGTCATCAGAAATTATTTTACGTCGCAGCAGGATGACGATCACAGCCAATGATTTCCCCTGCCGGTGTTTATTTAAAGACACCTGGTTCTCGTCTCCCTCTTAGGGCTGGCCTGCCCTTCAGTACCCATCTAACAGCGCAGCAAGCCAAACAAAGGACAAGCAGCAAAGCATGCGTGCTCTACTCCCGGTGGGTTGGCATGGTGACCATGACCCAGTGCTTCGTCCAGGGCCCTTCAGAAAGCTCCGCCCATCTTCTCCCATATGCTCCACGTGAACATTGCCGACTCTCAAGGTTGAGCGCACTCGACACCTCACAATGAGAGGACTCTCAAGAAGGAATACACAACCTCACGGTAAGAAGTGTCGAAGAGGGTAGATAAGGTTAAGAGCAACGTACCTCAAATAGCTGCCCCCAACCACATAGATAATCTCACCAGATGACCTGATGCCGATTGTGATGACCAGTCATTGCTTCGGCACAACCAGCATTGCACGCCGTTCCACCTCAGCACCAATCGCACATTAGATAGTTCTCATCACACTGTCCAACACCCACATTACACCATGTAGCCTTCCTGGCGATCCCCTCACCTCCTGGGTCGCCTCTCACTCGCCTCTGCCCTCCTCACTACACACCACTTACGGCCCAACTCACCAAGCAGACCGCATGTATGTACCGCATTAGGCAGAAGACAAGCGCCAGATGAGCGCAACCGTACCACAATTCTGATACCAAATTGCACGGAAGACGAGCAATAGCGAACTTCAGCAATCAAACAGCATCATATACACAAGACCAAATAGTCATGACCTCGAACCAACAGCAGAATTGCATCATGAGTTTCACCAATTAAGAACACACCAAGAGCTCATAATTGACAATGCTGGTAAAGTCTCATCATCATCATCAACGAAGAACCAATGTTGATATCCTATCTGGCGCTCGGCGCCCAGACTACAGATGGCAGATCCTATCTAGCCTAGACTAGAATGCCGAAGATGACGTCAACAACTTTCCCGAAGTGCGAGCATACAGCAACCAATGTCGCACGCTTCCAGCACCAGGTATGTCTCTCGCCTCACTCACAACCTCATTTCTCAACACACAGATGCCACTTGCACCCAAGGGCCACCCTGCGCCACACCCAACTTACAGCAGCGCAGATCGGCTATGGCTGCCTGCACCTTCTTGCTCGCCCGTGAGCGCGTGAGCGCTGGCCAGCAAATAGCACAGCAGCGCTTGCGCAACATCCAGCCAGCACCTGAATGATGAATGTGGAGGCAGGCCCTTTGCTATATCCAAGTGGCCTGCCTGTGTTCAATCCCAGGAAGCTTCCAGTAGGCCTCGGTAGCCTGAGGCCCAGCACGAAGGAGAACAGGCCTTGGGCCTGATGTGGTTGCATGTACCCAACTGCCTTGGCCTGTGTTTGGCCCAGTACCCGTATCCAGCCCAGGGCCTGCTTTCCATACATTCACACAGGCGGCCCCGGGCCTGGGTTCTCTCAACTAACTGGCGCTGCGCAACTGCCTGAATTTCCTTCAGTTGCGTGGTGACCAAAATAGGGGCCCTCAGGCCCTCGTCGTGCCTGCCTTCACTTAGGGCGGCCGACGTGATACTTGGCAGGGCCACAAAGGGGCTCATAGGGGCATAAGCCTCGCACTTCTTTTAATGTTGTTGTAAATAGGACCCCCTCCCAGGCATGACACGCACAACCAAGAACTCTCGACGCGCAGCTGCCGACGCCGCCACTGTTGCTGCCGCCTCCATCTCATGTGCTGCTACCACCGCTTCCTCCCCCACCATGCTGCAGCACCGACTCCGTCGACAGCATCACCCGCAATCTCGCAGGTGACCAACCAGCCGCAACCCCCGCCGCACCCGACTTTGCGGCCCTACTCCAGATGATGAAATCCCTCCAATCATCCATCTCCCTCGTAAACACCTCCATCACCGACATAAAGACCTCCATCTCTACCATCTCCAACCGCATCACGACAATCGAAGGAAACACCCCCGCCATCACGGTCTTCACAACCTCCCCCCAAACAACATCCGCACCACTTCCCTCCCTGTCCACGTCCACCGTCCTCTCCGCCAGCACGTCATCCACACCTCCGCCCGCATCTACCACTACCCCCACCATAGTCACGCAGCCGACAAACCCCGCTGTCACACAGTCGTCAACCATCCCCTCCCAATCAAAACCCATCTTGACTTCGTCCGTTATCACCTCCACCCTCCCCAGCTATACAGGGACTATTCCACAAGCTGCGTATCCCGCTCTTCCACTACTCCCCACCAATGCTTTCATCCCCACCAACCCTGCAAACGATTTCACCCTAGTCGACTCTTCCACTCCCACCCTTGATTTCAACGCCCTTGCCGCCAATACCGACAGAGTAGGAAAAATCCCTCCATCTTTCCGCGCCAATGAGATTCCCACTTTCTCAGGCCAACCCCATGAGGATGTCTTCCTCTTTCTCGCCAAATTTCAACAAACCTTCTCCCTCCACAACATCCCTGTCATCCACTAGCTCCCCATCGCCGGCAGCAGACTCCTCGCAAGTGCCGCTCGCTGGTGGTACACCGACATGACCAACCGCCATCACGCCAATCTCCGACCTCACACCTTCCTTGAGGGGGCCACCCTCATCACCTCCACCTTCCGTCCATAGAAAACGGTCGACGACTACATCGACCAATTCTCTCGACTCCAACAAAACGGCCCCATCGTACAATACGTCCGCTTGCTTTGCCAACATATCCCCATCGATATCGTACGCGACATCGCATTCATCTCTCACGTTAAGCACGTATGCCGCAAAGACCTAGTGGCCGTCCTCGTCCACGAGCCACCCATGACCCTCGCCGACCTCCTCACTCGTGCCCTCCAAATCGACCACGTCCTCTCCCCCTACAAGACCGCACTTACATCGCCCCCTCCCCACCCTTGCTTCTTCCACAACATCGCCTCCGAGGACATCTCCTCCACCACCTCCTCGGATGAGTTCTCCACCCCCGACCCCGACACCCTCTCTGATCCACTAGACACCACGTCGCTCTCTCCCAATGAACTCTCTACCATCCACCTCATGCGGATGGAAAAGAGAGAACGCTCTAGCCACCCTCCCCCGACCACCCTCTCGGGCCGCCTCAAGAAACTTACACCCGAGGAAAGAGCCTACCTTCAGACAAAAGGTGGGTGCTTCCGGTGCAAACAGATAGGCCACCAACAAGCCAATGGCCCACTTGCTAGACGATTCACATGCCATCCCGCGACCGCCCAACCCGCTACTTCCACATCCGCCACTCCCGGGCCCTCCTCCACTTGAACATTGTCCTCATGGTCACCACGCACCCGTCCCGACATCGACGACTAGTCTGTCGGCCATCCCATCGGTGACGATCTCCACCCCACCGGTGACCCATTTGGCATTAACAATACGTCTGCCTCCCCCCTCTCCAGTGCCGCACATCACACCGGACGACCCCCAAGCGTTGCAACCCTCGTCGCCTGACGCCCCCCCCCACCGCCACATGTTCCGCAACCCTCCTTCCGGGTCCATCCTCTGTCACCTTCTCTGATGTTGTCGAGGAACAAGCTCGACACGATCGGCTTGTCCGATTAGGCAATGAACAACACCGCCTCAACACCATTATTCCCACCGCCAACTCACTTGGAGCCACCCTTGGTGCGTCTACGGCTAAGTTTCGGGTCCTCCTCGACATTGGAGCCACCGGTAACTTCATCACTGTCGCGTGTGTCCGCAAAGCCGGTCTTACGGTTACGATTCCCCGATTACGATTCGCTTAGGGGACAAAGTCACCGCCGTCGTAGTGGACCGCACGGTTCCCGAGACCACCATGACTGTCGGAACCCTCCTTAGTCAGGTCTCATTCGATGTCATGCACCTAATGTGCGATATCGTTTTGGGAACACCGTGGCTGGATCGCGACATGCCATACGCATCCCACCCCAACTTCCTCCGCCTCACCAACCCCCCTGACACAACCATCAACATCCCCTATCTCCCCTTTCCCACCTCTCAAAGCTCCGTCACCCCGCACCAATTCCTCCACATGGCTCGCATGAACCCTGACTCCACCTACTAAAGCCTTGTCCTTGATCGCGAGCGTCCCCAGGACTTGCTCCCAACAGACAAACCTGACCAAGCCCCCCCCTCTGACCCCGCCCTCACCTCCATCCTCGATGAAACCTCCGGATTGTGGCGTATCCCACACCATCGATTTGGAGCCCGATCATTCTCCACCTTGCCGCCCTCCGTACCAACTCTCCATTCTGGAAGCCGAAGAAATAAAGCGGCAACTCAGTGAACTCCTTGAAAAAGGATTCATTAAGCCAAGTTCAGCCTCCTTCGGTACGAGCTGCCTTTTCGTAAAGAAAGGCGGAACATCGGAATTACGGATGTGCACAAACTACCGCGCCATAAATTGGATCACGATCAAGAACAAATACCCCCTACCTCCGTGGAGCCAAGTATTTCACCAATATCGACCTTCGTAGTGGTTTCCACCACATCCGCATCCGCGAGGAGGACACCCACAAGACCGCATTCCCCTCTCGGTTCGGGCACTACGAGTTGCTCGTGATGCCTTTCGGACTTACCAATGCCCCTGCCGCATTTCAGTCCACCATGAATCACATCTTCCGCAACCTCCTCGAAGTCTGTGTTGTCGTCTACCTCGATGACATCCTCGTCTATAGCCCCACCTTCGAGACCCACCTTCAGCATCTCCGCCAGGTCCTCTCTATCCTAAGAGAGCAAAAATTCTACACCAAGCTTAGCAAATGCACCTTTGCCGCTTCAAGCGTTGAATACCTTGGCCACATCGTCTCCGCTAAAGGCATCAGCATGGACCCCTCGAAGGTCACCGCCCTCATCGAGTATCCACCTCCGAAGACCTTACTCCAACTCCGATCATTTCTCGGCCTTGCCAACTACTACCGCCCCTTTATTCGCAACTTCTCCGACATCTTGTACCCTCTCCACGAACTCACCCGCAAGGACGAACCCTTCACTTGGAACAACCGCCGCCAAAACGCCTTCGATGCCATAAAACAACTCATCACCACTGCCCCCGTCCTCGAGATCGCCGACCCCACTCGCCATTTCTACGTCACCACCGAGGCCTCCAACTTCGCCATTGGAGCCGTTCTGTCCCAACATTTCCCTCGTGACACCACCGGAACTCCCTCCATCAAGGAATCCCCTACCCACCCCGAGGCTTCACCCAACGAATACCCCACCGCCTTCGCCAGCAAGAAGCTCCTCCCCGAAGAGATGAACTACCCCTCCAACGAGAAAGAACTCTGTGTTGTGATTCACGCCCTCACAGTCTGGTGCCCGTACCTCGACGGACAATATTTCACCATCCGCACGGATAACACCATCGTCTCTTCTATCCTAACGAAGAAAGACATTACCCCACGACAAGCCCATTGGTTAGACTTTCTTGCCCAATTCACATTCACCATTTGCCACACCCCCGGCAAAAGCAACCGCATTGTTGACGCCCTCTCTCGACGCCCTGACCACAAGCCCTCTGAGAAAGTCTATGCTGCCATGACTCATATCCAACTCCTCCCATCACTCCACCACCACTACACCCATGGCTACCTCTCTTGCCCGGATTTCTCAACAATCTACAACAAACTTCGTGACCTCAACTTAGTTCCCGACTACTCCCTTCATGACCAACTTCTTTACATTGACACCAAAATCACTCGCCGACTTTGCATCCCCGACGCACGTGACCTCCGTACCCAGCTCTTGGCCGAGCATCACGACGCCAAGACTGCAGGACACCTCGGGTTCCAAAAAACCTTTGACATCATCTCTCGTTACTTCTACTGGCCTTCCCTACTCGTCGATGGCAAAGCCTACATCCGCTCATGCCCCACATGTCAAGCTGCCAACCCCTCAAACCGCGCCAAGCCCGACAAGCCACAATCATTGTCGATCCCCATCCACCGGTGGCAGTCCACCTCCATGGACTTCGTCTGTGGGTTCCCCAAGACCGACCACGGACACGATTGCATCTATGTCATTATTTGCCGCTTGACTAAACGAGCCCATTTCATCCCTTGCACCACTTCGCACAACGCCAAAGACGTCGCCACACTCTTCTTTGACCATGTTGCATGCCACCACGGCCTCCCCGAAAATATCATAAGTGATCGTGACCCCCGCTTCCTCTCACAATTCTGGAAACACCTCTTCAAGGCCTATGGAACCACGCTCAAGTATAGCACCTCATTCCACCCACAGACCGATGGACAAACCAAGAAGATGAACGATACTCTCTAAAGAATTATGTGGAAGTATTGTCATATACATCAACACGACTGGGCTCAGTTGCTCACCGTCGTTGAGATCGCCTACAACAATATTGTTTGTCCTTCCACTGGCATGACTCCATTCTACCTCGACTTTGGCTATCATCCGCGCTTGCCCTTTGACTTTCTGCTCCCCTCGCAACTCATCCACCCCCTGCCCTTCTCTCAATGAACGGGTAACAACAATGAACAGACTCCTCAGCGAAGCCACGGAAGCCCTCGAACGAACACAAGAACAACAAGCCAACAAGACTAACAAGCACAGACGTGACGTGTCATTCAAAGTAGGGGACAAAGTCTGGCTCTCCGCCAAACGCTTTGAACCCGAACACAGCTTGTCCAAGAAACTCTCCAACAAGTGGCTCGGACCCTTCCCCATCATTGAAAAAACCTCCCAAGTCAACTACAAAATCCAACTCCCTCCTAACATGGCTCGCGTCCACCCTGTCTTCCATGTAGAGTACCTCAAAGAATATCATGAATCCCCACCCCAATTCGATGACCGCCCATATCCTACACCTCGACACATCATGTTACCCACAGACCCTGAATTCGTCGTCGAAGCCATCACAGGACGAAGAACTACTCAGGTATCTGACCACCCTTAACCAATCACAAAATACAAAGTTAAATGGGCAGGATACCTGACGAAGAATCCACATCGGAACCTCTTGCTAACCTTAAGAATGCTATGAAACTTGTTCACGCCTGTGATCGCGCTCACCCTATATCCTAGATACATAATATAACCCAAACCCTAAACCCTCGCATAAACCTTGCCTTGACCCAGCCAAAATCCCGCATTCCTGCCCTACACACACCCCTGTACCCAGCGAAGCCCGTGCCTCTTGAAACCCCCCCTGTCTGATCCGCTCTTGCCTCCGCCTTGCCCCGTTCTCCCATCTGTCCTCCGCCACATCCTCATCTCTCTTGTCCAAGTTTTGTGTGTGGCCCCTGCGCGTCGCCAACAATAATGGATCTAATGGCAAGCGCACGAGGGCAATGGCATGCTGCAGCTCAATACGAGGAGATAAGACAACTGGTTGGCCACCATGCTGTTCCCTTTGGCCGGCACCTTGGACTCGCAGACTTCTGGAGCAGCACCTCTGACATGGACATCAAGATCAGTCTGCGACCTCCGGATCAGACCTCATCATCAGATCGTGTACCGGACGCAACCTGCTACTGGGACAATCAAGCTGAAGCCCTCGCAGTCTACATCACAGAACCATTGAAGACTGCTTCCTCGCCGCCACTTCTGCGACAGCCTCCAAGACCCTCCTCAAGACATGTTTTCGCTTTTGGCACCCTGTTACAAGACTGAGACGTTGTTTTCCCAGACCCCTCAGACACCCCAACATTTCAGCATTGAACAAACAATTTTATTTTGTTTATTTTTCTCAAACCTGACAACCTATAACCTTGCAGAACACCAATGGGACTACCCTGTCAATTGTAGAACCTCAATAGGATTACCATATGACCCGAACATTGCTACTCTCACCCTTGTAGAACCTCAATAGGATTACCCTGTTACTTGAGCATTGATTCCCTCATCCCCGTAGTGAAACAGTTTTCACCTTTGGCAGTAGCCGATGCAGATCCCAGGGGTCGATCCCTTGACCTCAGCTTACCTGTGTACAGTATCTGCACAGTTCCCTGGAGTTGAACCCGTGACCTGCACGATAGCCAGTGGTAAGTAGGCCGCCGTAGGTTGTAGGCTGTAGGGAGATTCGAACTGTAGACYTGTAAGGTAGGAGTCCAAGTACAGTCCAGAGGCCTAGCTTTAGTCCTTCTAGAAGTTCGGCAAGTGGTCAAGTGGTGAGTCTAAGGTAGGCCCACGTTTTCAGACGAAGACAAGTGGCAAGGTCAACAGGTAGGACCTCAGTGCAACTGCACTGAGTCGACGGTACGACTGCCTACAGTCAGCAGAAGGGTCTAGAGAGTCCCAGTCCAGTCCAGCAAGTACCACAGGGGGACTGTGAGCACCAAGGG